ATTAACGTCTAGGATATTGGCTTTTATTTGTTCAATTTCATTTGAGATTATTTTCCATCCCATTACAATCATAATTCATAGAGTCTACAACCCAAATTTTAATGGACTTGTAGCCGTTTCTTCTCATCTTGAGTTTTTCCATATCAGAAAATAAAAGTCCTACAAGCTTTCCTCTATCCAGTTCATCAAGGTCCACTTGACTTCTTCAGTTATATTTTGAGTGCCTTCCAAGCTGAAAGGTCGCCTTTTGGCCACTATATCAGACAACTTCTGCTTTTACGATTGTCAGTGGTAAATCACTTAGAAATGGGCTTCCTCTTCTTTCTTTCTTGTCCGTTCTTAACCTGGAAGCTCTGCTGAAGCCTGCTCACTGTGGGCAAACCTGCTGATAATTGAAAAACTGGTGGTATAGTTTCCAGCATGATAGCAACCCACCGGCCAGTACTGGAACAAACTGAATGACGGATTAGAACGTGTATGGTATATTTAGTAGTATTTTCCAACAGCACAATTCAAATGCACCAGTTCTTCTCTCTTTTTCCATTGTCCAACTTCCACATGTGTATGATGGATTTTAAAAAGACCCTGGCTTAAGTCAGGGGCACCTGGGATGTATTTGCTTTGGGAAACTTAAATCTTTGGCAGACATTTTGCTCAGTACAATAAGTAGTATAATTTCTTGACTGCTTCCCCCCTCCCCCATGGAGGCTGATTGCTGACCCAAGTAGAGATATTTCATTGGCAGTTTCATTTTTATTTTTCATCCACCATAACGTTTTATTTTCCAGTCCAGTTGTATTTTATTATTCATTCATGTTCAGGCTATGAGATAAATATAGCAGTTGCCGTAGAGCCGAATTCTGATGCATGGGAACCACATGTGTTGGAGAGTAGAACTGGGCTGCATAAGGGTTCCCTTGCTGATTTTTCAGATGCTGTCACCAGCTCTTTCTTCTAAAGCCCTTTGAATGATCCCAAAGTGCCCATCTATTATGTTCCTGTTTGTACCCTCCAGGCACTCACTGACATAGACTTTCAGGAGCTCCACACCCGTTAATATCTGGGGTTTACACAAAATGATGTTCAAGCCAATGCAGAAATTTTCAGAAATTTTTGAATTGTAGTCCTGTGAACATGATCGTTCATTTCTTATGTAAGTATGTATTCTTAATAAAATAGAACAAAGTAAATTTAGACAAAAAGAAATAGAATGACTTGGCACCTGAGAACAATAGCTTGGTGCCACCAAATGTCTGTTTCAAATGCTGTGGCAAAGTGCTTTTCCTTTACACCTTTATTTGTTAATCTTCATAGTCAGTGTAATACTAGAACCTGCATAGTACGTGGTATGCAGCACAATAAATTAGTATTTTATGTGCTTTGAAAAGAGTCAGGCTTCCTCAGACAAGACCGATTGTGAGGATGCTACAGCACCGGCCCTGCTTCGTCCTTTTGTATGTACGGACCCTCTGAATCAGAACGGACCCAAAGGCACCTAACAACAATATTTAAGTTCTGCTACACCATGCCATTGGCTTCATTTGAAATTACCCTCTTGCTCTGAATCCATTCGCACTGATAATGACCAAAGGAAGAGTTTTGAGATCTTTATGGGATCAGACAGCATCCGCTGTGTCCTGTGAAGCAGCTAGGGAATTTAAACTGCCAACTACCTGAAGCACCGCCAGGGTTTCATTAGAGAAGAACGAACACACATGGAGCTAAATTTAGTTGTTTGAAAACAAAATTTGTGTCTAGTTTTAATACTCATGAACGCACATCCAGTTTGTGGGTTTTTCCATCCTATCCGACTCTCCTCCTGTGGCTCGGTTAAGAGAATGGACAAAGAGAGGTGTGTTCACAGCAATCTGTGCTGCTACTGCCAGCAGATATTTAGCCAGAGCAGAGGTTTCAATAACATTCTAGCAACAATATTATCTTCCTGACTTATTGATTAGTAATACCTCCAGAATGGACTGCTTTTATAGCCAATATAATGATACCTTGAAATGAAACTTTCTTTTTTTAAAAAATCATTTTATTAGGGGCTCATACAATTCTTATCACAATCCATACATACATCAATTGTGTAAAGTGCATTTGTACATTCATTGCCCTCATCAGTCTCAAAACATTT